TTAATTTAAACGAGATTCCTATTTTTCATACCACAGAAATACCTCTTTTATATTAGGGAATACAAATATCATAATGTATATATTTATCTGCTATTCAATGTTTCTCCCTTACTGACCTTTGTTTTGAATGACAGAAATTACCTTACTTGCGACGTTAGCTAATACAGCCATTAACTAAAAAGGTCCTTTAAGCAAATGCTACAAGCTCGTTCTTAACGCAATGAATGTGTTAATGACGTCTGTGTCTAATTAACGAGCTTTCCATTCCGCAGACAATCCATTGGCTCCCACTTAACCACTTAACACTTGTTTCAAGTCTGATAATATTGCGCCTGGCAAAGACATTTGTGACAGTAATCAGCCAATCGGAAAGCAGTATTACCTACGCCAGACAAGATCACTAATCCAATCTAGTCGACAGTGGAGGAAGGTATATGTCCTCGTGTAACGCCATTAGGTATAAGACACGTTCTCTACTCCTAAGTGCCCCCTGGGGGTGCCTAAACAACGCAGGCTTGTAGGGAGGGGGGCCGCGAAACACTATGTACAACCATACGGTAGACTCCCACACTTGTTTTCTTACAACGCAATCTCCACACGCCATGAGTTCACGTCATGTCAGACATATGTGACAATTCCCTATTCGAATGGCGGAAACCGTTCCGTGGTACCGTGTCAGTATCGCCGTGTTCTGTGAATTTATCATTGCCATTGCGGGCGGAGGTATGGCATTGTATTGCGCTGATTGAGACGCGTAATCTGATTGTAGCTCGAGGTGGCTCCATTCAGTGTGGCAGTGTATCAGTGCGTGGTGTATTAGCTGGATTGTCGGGATATCATAGGATTACGCAGGAAGACTGTCAACAGTGTTAGGAGCAGGGATGTATCATGATAGCTCTGTGGGCCGTACACGAGCGCAGTGATTATCCTCTTGGCTAAATTAGTGTGAAAACATTGACAGTGGCCACTCTTGAAAACCGACATCAGATTGGACCACATTCGGTTTACACTACTGACACCTGGATAGACCACATTCTGTTTTAACTGACAACTGAATAGTCCGCATTCCGTCTTAACTGGCAACTGAATAGTCCGCATTCTGTCTTAACTGACACCTGAAAAGTCCGCATTCTGTCCTAACTGACACCTGAAAAGTCCGCATTCTGTCCTAACTGACACCTGAAAAGTCCGCATTCTGTCTTAACTGACATCTGAGACACCTGACATTCTGTCTAAACTGACATTTGAATAGTCCCATATTCTGTCTGATAATGCACCTGCATAGTTCCATATTCTGTCTAACCGACATCTAATACCAATAACTCCACATTCCCAGGCATGCAATATATCAGTATATAAAAGAAGCATTCTTACACATTCATTAGTAACAGTAACTCGAACAGGTGAGGCGAGGTGAGGTGAAATTGGGTTTACCGTCGAGTTCAAGATTATTGCACTCATTCACCGACGTCCAAACACGTGTGTGTGGCTGCTTTTATTAGTCTAGACTGTTTTAGTGTTAGGCCACTGAGATAACATGGGTACCTAAACGGGGGACATTATGCTGACAACGAGCAGTCCAGTTCTTGCTTTATTCCCTAAGTGCCGAGCGCCGGTCACGGTCGCGATGACCCTCCTATTTCAGTGGCACTACAAATTATGCATGTATGTCGTACGTTCGTTGGATCTTTATTGACAATCTCGATCGGTTAAACGGCCCTTAACTTTCTGCTTGAAGCTTGTAATCGACATTAAAGAACATGAATTTTGATAGAAAGTCTGACATTTCCATTGTGAAGACAATTGGTCAAGAGCTTAATATCATGATGGATGTTTTAACCAGCTGATGGCCTTTCCTGAAACGAATGGCTTTCAACAAGTCTATAGAACAAATAGACATCTTTTTGCAGACGCATTAATCATATCCGAAGTGTGTGCGCGAAAATCGGTTTGTCCATAACAGCCTGTTGGTTTTTATACAATACGGTCGATCGCACCTTTGGATCTGCAAGGCACAACCCCGATCGCTTTCATCAATACTATTTCTGTAGACTGCTCATTTGAGACACCTCATCATCGACTTAACCTAAATTTCATCAATTTATTGTCGGTATCCGAAGGCAGTCAACAGAAAAGACAGCATTTGCGTTGACTCGAACCGCTTGCAGCACTTCACGTTGCCAGTTATACAAGAGCGATACCCTTCCTTGGTCCAGAATCCGTTGCGCCATACACTACGCATTAGAGAAAGCTAACGATGTGTATCCATAGTAACAAAGGCAACCAAATGGTTTAAAAATGGTAATTTTTATTCATATCCCATTTGTGTAAAACTACTGTACGGAAAGAATAATGGTCAGCGGCATCGTGGAAATCTCGTTTCATGGTGGATCGCTTTACAAGACAAATGAGATATCAAACAAAAAAGCACAACTCAGAGGCCAAGAAAACAGTATCGGTTTGCAATTAAATGCATTTGAAGACTGGTTATAGTTACACATTTTTAAAGGCATTTTCTGCATCTCATCTTCTCAAAATCGTGCCTTCTATCAAATGTCAATGAATGGAGCTTGATTAATATTTACGACAATTGTGGAAAAAGGTTTAAGACATTAACGAGCTGCCCTTTATTTTCTTAGAGAGATATGCTTCCAACAAGCGTCAGCGCTAATCTTCGTTTTTGAAGCTAAACAGCAACAGTAACAGTGAACAACACTATAGCAAATAATTGACCGATCCAATGATCAAGGTTCAATTGACAAGCCAGTGTCACATACAAGTAGATTCTCTGTCACGTACTGCAATGGCTAGAAAATGAAATTTACAAATGAGCAAACTTTGGTCCTCCTTCACGAATCTCTGCGTGTCCTGTCCTGCCATTAAACTCCCTGCCTGTCTGCGGTGATCCCCGAACAATTAACAGGTCAAAATAGTGGCATGGGTCATGTAGCGAGGAACTTGCCCAAAGGTATTTACGCGTCCCACCTGATTTGAAAAATTAGTCTGAATGGTCGCACGCACCACACCAGATTGCAGAACATGTCAAAATGGTGCAAATGTTACACCTGCATGTGTCAAAACGGTTGCACGCGTCATACCTCACAAGTACATGTCTAAATGGTTGCACGCATCAAACTTGACAGGAACACGCCCAAAAGGTTGCACGTGTCATACCTAACAAGGACATGTACACATGGTTGCACGCGTCTTACCTGACAAGGACATGTCTAAATGGTTGCACGCGTCATACCTGACATCGACAAGTCTAAATGGTTGCACGCGTCATACCTGACAAGGACATGTACACATGGTTGCACGCGTCATACCTGACATCGACATGTCTAAATGGTTGCACGCGTCATACCTGACAAGGACATGTACACATGGTTGCACGCGTCATACCTGACAAGGACATGTACACATAGTTGCACGCGTCATACCTGACAAGTACATGTCTAAATGGTTGCACGCGTCACACCGGACAAGGACATGTACATATGGTTGCACGCGTCATACCGGACAAGGACATGTCTAAATGGTTGCACGCATCATACCTGACAAGGACATGTCTAAATGGTTGCACGAGTCATACCGGACAAGGACATGTACAAATGGGTGCACGTGTCCCAAGTGACGCGATTAGCATATCCGCCATTTCTGAAGTGCAGAACACGTTAAGAAAGGTTAGAACCTATGGCATGACCATGGCGTTTGGAAACTTGTTCAACGCTGAATTCTCAGACAAGTAATGAACGAAAGCAATACAACAAGAATGTCACATCCGCAGGTCAGGAAAACGTGACTTGGCGTTTCCCATATTACAACCAACTACCAGTGCAGCGGGGCGGGGGTGGTCGTGGAGATGGAAGCGGTGTCTCGATATGCCAATACTCCCTCCATCGGAAAACAACGTGAGACCAATTCTTGGTATCAGTCATCGTGTGGAACATCGAATTATGGACTTTGTGCCATTAATTCGGTTGTATCTTTGTTCAATGGCTTATGGTGGCGCACCCTGAAGAAGTAGTTCATAGAGCCGGATGTGACGTCTACGACTTACACGAAGAATGTCCTCAATAGCTCCGTAACGATAATCGTGATGTGTAAATATTTTACATTCAAAGTCAAATTGTCGACTTGAGAAGTTCAGCTTATCATTTTATCGTACTCTGTTGGCAGTGGTCATCTCTTGAGCCTGTATGTAATTACAGAATCTTGAAACTGTCATCTCTAATATCTTTATGACAGATGCTCTTGAATTTGTGCAACTATCATTGTGTCGTTCTATCAGAAAATATCTATTGTCATTTCGAGCACGTGATATCATATCATCGCTACTGTCATATGATAATATGACTATAGTTGTTTAATATACAAAATATATTTGATATCTTAACGTATTACTACCACAATGATATTATATCAATATTTTACACATGTCACTCAATTTAACTTACAATCAGTGGAATAGCCTCTGGTTTTTAGCTAAAAATGAAGGTCACATTGTGCAAACTTTGAGGCCACGAATAAATGTCTGAAACAGCATGAAACAAACTAACTCACTCACTCATCTCATTCAGCTCCTTTATCGTCATCCCACACTCACTCACTCTCATCCGACCTCCCCATGGTCTTGTGGATAGAGCGTCTGCCCAGAGACGGTGGTTCGATCCCCGGCCTTGTCACACCAAATGCGCAACGGTTAAAATATGGTACATGTTGTTACCCTGCGCTCGGCGTTAAGATGATAACTAAAGCCTCGGCTCGGAGGCTGGATACTGTGTCTGAGTGGGGTATTCACGTTAAACTGCAGCATGGTATCTCAGTGGGGCAGCACTATTGATAGGCACTAGTCTAGACCAGTACAAGCAACCACACACCGACACATGAACATGTAATCTTGAAAGCGACCGCCCTCCACCCATCTCATTCAAACTCAACCCCAACTCACTCATGTAGCGATAAGACTCATTCACACATGGAAACATCAATGATCTCACCTGTGTACTATGTTCCGACTCCTGAGGTAATCCAGTGCTAGAGCTATCTCACACAGATACAGTTTGACGTGAGTGTCGGTGAAGTCCACTTCCTGTTGCATGTGGTACCTGAGGTCGCCTCCCAACAGGAGGTCCACTACCACGAACATGTCCTCCTCGTCCTCGAAGGTGAACCACAGGTTCACCAGGAACGGGTGGTCCAATGTCCTCATGATTTCCACCTCACGCAGCACGTTCAAGATGGCGTCCTTCCTCACGCACATGTTCTTGTTCATGTATTTCATAGCGAACATCTTCTTGGTATCCTTCTTCTGGACGATGCATACCTGGAACAGATCCATGCCAGTATCAGAAACATGTAAAAGTGTCTAGGCACTGTAGCTCACCAAGTACATAATGTGGGACCTGAAAGTTCTTTGTGAGTGAATGATTTGGGTTTGATGCCGCCACCTCGCCAGTCACAATCCTGTTGCTTTTGGACTTCGTCAACTAGATTGGATATCGTCACAGTGTCCTATTGTTATGATGAGTGTGTGAGTGAGTAGTGTTTAACGCCGCTTTTTACAGTATTCCAGTCATATCACGGCGTGTCAGCTTAATGTGGGTGGAAAGCCCGAAGTGATGCAGGTCTCAGACGTTTACCACTTCGGTGAAACCCACGAGCATGGGGATGGTGCTGACAAACCTAGAGACATTATCGGGGCGGGATTCGAACCCACAATCATAGGTTTCTGGCGTGCCCAAGAGACATAACTCTGCACAGTGAATTGCGGCGCCTTGGACGACTGGGCCACCCGTGCCCCTCTAAAATTCTTTGTACTGTAACGTAACTTTAAGGACGGTCGCAATGTCGAGCCGTTCGCGTTTTCCACAATTTGAATGCCGTCTTTTCGCAATTCACAAATCACAAAACATTTCATGTCACTGCAATAAGAAAACGAAAATTCGTAAACAGGTGCTATGTTTTTCTCTAAGAGTTTACACATTTTCAAAGTTTACTGCTAGGTATCTTGCAAAAACATTTTACAGGCACAAACAGTCCTAATTGTGTGTTACAATATTGTGGATATTGAACTCTGGAATATATAAGGTAGATATATAATACAGTGAAATACTTCCGTAGAAATAGTAACATATACAGAATATATTATAAAATACCTAAACTAGAATGTGTTTTTACTCATATGTTTCCCCCATCCTGTTTATTTAGCCTGGAAATATAATGGTTTTATGCAGAAATATGCATTAGCAGTACAGTTCCGGCGAAACTTGTTTGAGACTAAGTCCAAATAGTTTCCATAGAAACACAAGAAATTTCAAAACAAATAATTGAAAAATATTTTGAGCATGTTGTCATTGCACATGTATAGTTTCATACAAAAAAAACATAGCCTAGAGTTTTTTAGACTGCGTCCAAATTGTTTCAATGGAAACGTAACAAAAAAAATCAAAATAGCAAAAGGTACCAGTTACAATGATGAGCAATGTATATGCCAAGTTTCGTTGAAAAATGTTAAAGTTTTCCCAGTTATTGCCATGAAACGACCCCTACCCTTGTTTAAGACTAATTCGAAATTGTTTCCATGGAAACGAATTGATTTTAAAAACCTTTAAAATAACAAACGGCACCAGTTAGGCAGATAAGCATATGCCAAGTTTCGTTGAAAAACACTGCACGGATTTCAAGTTATGGCTCGGAATAGTATGGGAACCCACCCGAAAACAAAATATGTCTCCCCTCCCTTTGTAGTAATTAATACTGACAGTGTACAATAACTACCGAGAGATGTTTTAAAAAGTTGTACATAAAAAATAACACAAGTCATTGAGCATAAATTGTACTAAATATAAATGTTGAATAATCAAAGTTTACTATTTGGAAGACAAACTACATGTTAACACTGCGAAGAAAAAGTCTGGATTGAAAAATGACCTCTAACTTACAATATAGGGTGGCTCACTAAAGTTCAAATGGCATTATATCTAGGGCATCAAACAAAGTGATTTACACATACGCATGATAAATCTTCCGACAAATAAAAAATAATGACTTCATGTCAGCATTAGGAGAACTACAACAACGTCTTAAATGAATATGAAGCACATTTGTTATTCTAACCCTAAACATAAAAAAACAAGGAGAAAAATGTATTTCTGGTGTAATACTATACATGAAAGAAGAAAGTAGAGCAGAAAGTCTACATAGCAGAAAGGTTATTGCATATAGCTGAAGCTAAAGTTTCTCTGGTATAAAGGAGTGTTGGTAAGTGGCAGTGTGTTAAGCATTGTACAGTATTGTTTCTATTTCTAATACCATGGTGACCAATGTTGGCATATTTTGGTGGTAAAGGGTCATTCAAGTTAGCTGAACCTGAGCTGTTAACAATTTTACATTAAGTAAATGGTAACTTTAGTTTTACCCCTCTTGAGAGTGTCTCCCAGTCTGTTTCACAACAAACTAGTTTGAGATTAGAAGACCAGAACCTATTCTAGCTGCTTTGAATGGTATATACTCAGGTTTATATATTCAAGTATATATGTTCGATAACATGTTGTATAAAAACAATATAGAGTTTAGGTATGGACCGACCATTTTAATTTAGCTGCAGCTGCAAAACCAGATGTTTTCCTCATTAAAACTATGTCTAAATATTTTTTTAAAGAAACATCGTGCAACAATACAATCTTTGCGCCAGGCAAATTCCTTTTTCAACAGTCTGAAGCATAATATTTTTCTGCGAGAATTTATATTTGCGAAACAATCCCCTTCCGTCCCAATATGAAATGGTCGGTCTCCAATGCTGGCTCAGATTCACATGCTTTGTGAGTTCCTAAAGAAATGTGACACACATCGTGGCATATTCCAAAACAACTACCATGGTGTAACAAATTCTTCTAAAATTTCATTTTCATCCAAATTCAGAGAAATAATGGTCATATGACTCAAAACGAACACTCGGGACACGTGGACCTTTATAATGTCCTCTTTACAATGAGTGTCTGACTTTAACCTCATCACTAACATAAACCCGTCGTTGTTGTTTGTTGCTTAACGCCCCACTCAGCAAACTCTCTGCTATATGACGGCGGTCTGTAAATAATCGAGTGTGGACCAAACAATCTTGTTACTGACATCATGAGCATCGATCTACGCAAAATTTGGTTGGTTGGTTTTTTAACGCCGCACTCCAGCTATATGACGGCTGTCTGTAAATAATCGAGTCTGGACCAGACAATCCAGTGATTGACATCATGAGCATCGATCCACGCCATTGGGATTGATGACATGCATCAACCAAGTCAGCGAGCCTGACCACCCGATCCCGTTAGTCGCCTCTTAGGACAAGCATGATCGCCTTTTACGGCAAGCATGGGTTGCTGAAGACATATTCTACCCCGGATCTTCACGGGTCGAAAAATTTTGAAACGATGACATGCATCAACCAAGTCAGCGAGCCTGACCACCCGATCCCGTTGTCGCCTCTTACGACAAGAACAGTCGCCTTTTACGGCAAGCATGGGTTGCTGAACACCTATTCTACCCGGATCTTCACGGGTTACATGTACCTGTCCAAATGCTGAAATACCTCACGGTATTTTCTGTAAACTCACGATCTCCAAGCTACTGTGAGCTGAAATACATGGATGCCCAACGGATATCCCCGTGCGTCCCTCACTCATTCCCTTTATCAGGTAGATGGCATAACGAACTCATAGGCATGTCTTGACGTCCTTCAGGCTGATCGATACCTAATAAATTCAGAACCTTATTTGATCTGTTTGCCATAATAACGCCTTCGCGTTTGACAGTTATAGGCTACGGTGTTAAAGCTGTATGGATTTCCCAATTAGTCAGCAGAGTATAATGGCCCATTGCAATTTCATCAAACCATCAACAGAAAACTGTTATTAAAAAGCCAGCGAAGCACATTTCTCCCTCAAATAAGTGCGTTTTCATGCCGCGTTGCAGTGTTGCAGTTACACCATGGTGTTATAGCTTAATGGAGGAGGAACGCTCAAAGCGGTACGAGACACACACGTTTGCCACCAACACGGGCTTGCTGACAAACCAAGGTTCGTAATGGGGCAAAATGGGATTCGAACTCGTACTGGGAAAATAATGCACCGTAACTTCTTTATGACATCCTAAATTACCTCAGCATCCTGTTGCTTTTAGACTTCGTCAACTAGGTTGGATATCGTCACAGTTTCTCTATTGTTTAGATGAGTGAGTTAGTGGGTAGTGTTTAACGCCGCTTTTAATAGTATTCCAGTTACGTCATGGCATGTCAGCTTAATGTGGATGACGCCCGAAGTGATGCAGGTCTTAGACGTTGACCACTTCGGTAAAAACCCACGAGCACGGGTATGGTGCTGACAAACCTCGAAACATAATCGGGCAGAACCGGATTCGAACCCACAATCATAGGTTTCTGACACAGAAATCTGCACAGCGAATCGCGGCGTCTTGGACGACCGGGCCACCCGTGCCCCCTGTTCAGGTGAACAGGTACATATATCGTCATATGTTTGTATAACTTTGGCGTCACATCTGTCACCTATGATGCTGTAAACACTCACGCTGTGTTCATTCAGCGGAAGACTAGGTGTCTATCCGCCAGTGCTTGTAAGGGTGGACTTAAATGATGGCTACAATGTATGATTGTGGCTGACGGTGTTCACACACCCATTCGGGGGGATGGGGTAGCCTGGTGGTTAAAGCGTTCGCTCGTCACGCCGAAGACCCGAGTTCGATTCCTCACATGGGTACAATGTGTGATGCCCATTTCTGGTGTCCCCCGCCGTGATATTGCTGGAATATTGTTAAAAGCGGCGTGAATTCATACTCACCCACTCACCCATTCTCAATATGCAGGGATGATCTGTGCCTACGATAACTCAATATTGCTTATTCAGCCTACACGTTCTTTGTTTGTTGTTTCCAGCTACATGACGGCGATCTGTAATAATCGAGTCTGGACCTGACAATCCAGCGAGTCTTTACTTCGTTCCCTTTCGTCTCTTCTTCCGACAACCAAGTCTAACCATGACCTTTAAGGAGTATCAACGTACGCTTATTGACTCTTTGCATAGTGATGTGTCAACTTTTCAGGAACCTTTCCAGTACCCAGTGTTGAAATTCTTGACAAGATAATATATAGCATACTCAGCTGTATAGTAAAGGAAGACATTAGTAGTACTCCAGTAGAGTGAGTGAGTGAGTTGGGTTTAACGCCGCTTTTAACAGTATTCCAGTTACATCACGGCGTGTCAGCTTAATATGGGAGGAAAGCCCGAAGTGATGCAGGTCTCAGACGTTTACCAC